AGCAAATACATAATCTGCAATTTTATTCATGAAGCTTTAGAAGAAAAGAAATACTATTCAGCAGCATTTTTGAATATTTCTCAAGCCTTTGATAGAGTTTGGCACGCTCTAATCCTTCCCTTAAATTATTTCCTTATGCTCAAGTCCTACCTCCATGACCGGCATTTCCTAGTAAGACTTCAGTACAGAAGTCTAATGTAGGCTAACATGGTAGGCTCAATTTGGATGAGACAGTGTGAAGAATAAAAGTAAACGAGTGTACGTCAATCCATATCCACATTCACTAATAGAAAAAACACATGGCCACCAGTCTCTTTAAATAATCAAGAATTACAGCAAAAAGGATCATGCCAAATAACTTGGCATGCAGCTCGTCAGGCGGTTAGCATGGAAGAAGCAAAGAATGTTGTGAAGATGCTTTTTTTTATATTCCCAAAGTATATATTACTGTTTGATACTTTTTATAATAAACATGTCCAAAGCGTCAATAGAAATGACGCAGGTAATATGAAATTATGAGTTAATTCAGGGTATTTTACTTCAACGTAACAAAATATATCTATAAATAGTTTTTTGATTGTATTTCTGTAAGCCATAACGTCAACAAATATTTTATAATTTTTTTTTCCTAGCGATATATTTAATACAAATATTTTATTATTTTTTCTCCTTGTACTAACACGGATTTTCGATAATCTGAGTCGGCCACGGTTCCATTTATTGCAACTTATCGAGCACATTTCATAATAAACTATTTGCACACTTCAGTTACATGCAGGATCCGCTACGTTTTCATAATTTTGCATACATTACTCCGTTCGCGGCTTACACAAATAGTTCAATGTCACGTCTATAATTACTGGTTTTTTCTTTAAGTTAAGTAAATTGTTTTATCTTAAAATCAGAATGTCGGTGAAGAACTAATCTATCATTTAGAACCGACGGACTGGAAAAGATTTGTTGTTATTTTCTCTGAAAACATGTGGAAAACCATAAAGATTGTTAATCTTCGGCAATGTGGATATGAATGTTTGTTGTTCATCAAGATATTTAATAGTATATTTATTCAATAAATGGCAAGTTTCGCAACGTTATATTTATAAATGAACATACAGTAAAGGAGGGCCATTCTTCATCGTTCATGACCGTTCTCGATCGTTGGATATCACGTTCTTCTTCTTGTGGTGCCTCTCCGTTACGGATGTTGGCATGGAAATTCTAACTTTATTGACCGCAGCTCGAAATAGTCCTGAAGTGGTCAAGGAAAACCACTTCCGTAAGTTCTGGAGCCAAGATATTCTTCTTCCTGGTCCCCTCTTTCCGTAAACCTTTCCCTGTAATATAAGTTGCAGCAGGTTATATCTATGGTCGTTTATCATTATATGTCCAAGATATTCTAGCTTGCGCTCTTTCACTATGGATATCACATTAGCTACCATATTCGCTGTCATGGCTTTATTCGGCTCTGTTTATTGCTGGATCAATCAAAACTTAGTGTGGCAACAAAAGGAGAGATGATACTAGGGGGTATTGAAGCAGAAATGTCCATAAACATATCACATTTCAATAACATAAAAATACACTATATGGAAATCCAATCATCACTTCTCCCAAAGACCATGAAAATACTGTATCTCAAAACTTCTTCTGCTTCTTCTTTTTCTTCTTTTAAAGCTTTTTCCAGACACAAGAAATTTTTTTTTTTAAAAATCGTCTCTTTTACACTGATACACCCTTTTAACACTTAACACTGGTTACCAGACATTTCAAAAGGGTTCACTGGTTACCTGATATTTTAAAAGGGGCACACAGCTCCTGTATCATCCTCCAGTTGAAACACCAAAAATTAAAAAAAACCCACATTGAACCTTGGCTGTTCCATTACACATTCTGATTGCAGTCCAAATGGATTCTTCTAATAACGAACAACTAGATGAACTGCCTCCCAGGACTGGTTCCGAATCAAAGCAGGAATCCATGGAATTGAGGGACAGTGTTTCACCACAACACGTTCCGTCACCTTGATAACAAGATGTTTTCTACTGATGTAGTGATACTTTTCAATGATGTTTATTCTACTGGTGATATCCCTGAAGATTGGTTAAAGTCCGAATTCATAACACTATCAAAAAAACAACGTCCGAAAAACTGTAGCGATTATAGAATGATAGGCTTTATGAGCCACACTTAGAAAATATTTCTACGCATCATCCAGAGTAGAATCAGAGATGAATGTGAAGAAGATCAGGATGAAACACAATTTGGCTTCAGAAATGGACTGGGAAACTCGGGACGCCCTCTTTGCACTAAATGTATTACTGCAGAAATGTCGAGATCAAAGGAAAGACGTCTTTGCTGCATTTATTGACTATGAAAAGGCCTTTGATCGAGTACAGCATCACACATTAATTACAATATTAAAAGATAAAGGAGTTGATAGTCAAGACATACGATTCATAGAAAAGTTATACTGGCGTCAAACAGCGACAGCTTGCATAAAACGGAAAATCAACAGAAAAATCGTTTCAAAAAGAACGAAATCAAGAAAACCATAATAGCTTTCTCAAAAATAAAAGCACAAAACTGCCAACACCCTTAATAATCTAGTCGTCAGAGAATTGAACTCTAAAAATCATGTTACCCCTTTTACCCCCGGGCTTCCCCCTAAAACCGCCCTCGTAGGGGGTAAAGACGCAAACAAATCGATTTACCAAGAATCTGTTCGTCGCGTCAGATCCAAGTCTCATACGCGATCCAAACTGGCTCACCTCCAGAATAAGAATGCCCAAACGATCTCACACTCAGGTTCCGCTCTCTTGCCGGTATCATTTTACTGGTGGGCTATTTGATTTCGCTTAGCTGCATTTGGTAATGCAAATAAACAATTGGAATATGTTCATCCTCTTCTAAGACTTTAAGACACAATTCTTAAAGTGCTTCTCTTTGAGCGAAATTTTTCTATAAACCTTTTAGGAAATTTCTATGATATCCAGAGTGGAAAAGAAATTCTACAACCTAATAACTCTTCTTTGTAGAGGTTATTTTTCATTGTACATTAATTGATACGTTATTGAAAGAAGCATTTAAAAAAATATTATGATTTCATATTATATTTATTGTAACCTCGGAAATCTTTTTTTGGGTGGTGCTAGAAAGATAACCAATGGAGACACTGCGGACGGCAGCCAGATGGTTGGTGGAGAGCGAGTCGTGGGTTCGAAACTAGCTTTTGGAACCGGGAATGGATCCAACGGAAGAAATAGGTAAAGATAGGATAAGAGATATTAGAAAAGATACAGAAATAAACAAAAAGATAGATGGGTAAAATTACCAAAGATAAGAGAAGATAGAAACAGGGCGCCACTCAATTTTTTGGGGTTAAGGAGAAAATTAAGAAAACCTTAGAAAAGAAAAGAGATAAGAAAAGATATTTAGGTTCAGAGATCAAACCCAAGGAAAGATACCAACAGTAAATTATCAAATAAATCTGGTCAACGCAATATATAAACAAATAATAAATATATTAAGTATTACACTTACTTACCTACGAAACTTAATCAGCCTGATCTTTCTACAGTTCAAAAGCATAGTAATATTTAAAGATAGTAATTGTTCAGAGCTATTATTTTATCAGGGAACTTGTTAGGAGCCGACAAATAAAATACATGCATAAAACAATAACAATATATTAAACACAAAATTATGATGCTGCTAAATGCAACCCAGGTAATAAAATACACAACTATGAAATGGTGTTATATATGTATAAAATTAAGCTATAATGTAATAAAAAAATACCTTTACCAAGATATATAAGGCAATCATATACAAATATAGTTTGGCGTATCTCGAGATATCATAGGAAAGATAATGAACAAAAATTATAGGAAATACAAAAGATAGCAAAAATTACTTAACTCTAAATTTACAAAAAAAAACAAAAAGGTTACAGGAATGAAAACATAAACCAAACCGCACTTGGTTAAGTCAATTAACTATCTCGCACTATTATTTAATAAAAAACTGAGACTTGTATGTTCATAGGTAATATTTATAGAAATTTCTTGAATGGTTCAATTACATTCAAAAATCGGCAATCTACAGGTGAAGATATAGATGATACGTCCAGATAATGGCAGGTGATATGGTACCATACCATATTACTCGCCCAGATAATTGTAGATAAAGATTACTTACAGTAGATCTTGACGAAGGCAGCTTAATTCACTGAATTTAATACTTTTCTGGTACTAAACACTGAATTTAATAACCATTAAAGGTAGTGTAGAACTATATATAATTTAATATAGTCTAAGGAAAGAAAACTCAAATATGAAGTGTACACACACTTAGAAAATAATTCACAGCGACGATAAGATAAGAAATATCGTGAGCAAAGCGCATCACGAGATATCACTTCACTCAACAAGAGCCCACCGAGAAGTAAGTTGGTTCCCTAAAAATTTCACCAACTATCCAAGAAAAAAGAAGAAGAAGGTATATCCCCCACTTAAAATCATCGGACAGTCGTATGTATTTCTCAGAAGGTAAGGCCTTAACGACTATTGGAAAGTTTGAGGTAAAATAATCGGTATTAACAATTGGACCTGAGAATATTAAAATCCTTAGGATTATATTATTGTCAAAAGATACGGGCCTTCGGCGAAAATTACCAATTTATGAAAAAGAAACTGCATACCGGAAAGCATTTGTTCTTTTCATACAGAGTATTAAGACGGAAGGATTAAAAACCTTTCTTAATTAGGGAATTCCATTTCAGCTTGGTGTCTACAATAATATTTTCCTATCGTAAACACGGGGATTCCTAATCATCGGCGTATCGCACGGGGTAAAAGGAATTAAAAATAATTTGATATATTAATAATAAAAAAAAATGTTACATTATGACTATATAATAAAGTTTACCTAGGTTTATATTTCATACGCTTGAAATAAATAATCATATAACAATATTTTTAGTTCTTTTTCTTTCTTTTCAGCTAGTTTACCCGGTACCGAAGCTGCCCACAAGTTAGTAGTAACCATCCGACAAAAATGTACCCCCGAAGAAGCCCTTTCAGTACTAAAAGACTTACCCAACCCGCGATCCGAAGAAGACGCCGACGGTAGATTCAACCCCCTTAAAATCGACGTTTTCGTACAAACTTTATTGAACCTGGGCTCGAAAAGTTTCTCTCACAGCTTCGCAGCTATTTCCAAGTTTCATTATGTGTTCAAGATTTTGGCCGAGTCGGAGGAAGCTCAGATTTGCATACTGAGGAATATGTTCGAATTGTGGCATAATCACCAGCAGATGATGATTGTTTTGGTGGACAAGATGCTGAAGACACAGATTGTTGAGTGCTCAGCTGTAAGTATCAGCAGTATTTTTAAATATAGTAGTCGTAGAGTTTTTACTACAACAAATATTTTCTGTAGGTGGCGAACTGGATTTTTTCCAAAGAAATGAATTCGGAGTTCACAAAGATGTATTTGTGGGAAATCCTTCATCTTACCATCAAGAAAATGAACAAGCACGTCATCAAAATTGGAGGGGAGCTGGTGGAAGCTAGAGAAAAATTAGCGCGTGCAGAATCTAGCGACAGCGAGTCGGAAGATGACGAGAAGAAAAAGCAAGGTAAATACCGTTGCATTATTTAAGCTTTTTTTTGTTTAAGCACTGGTGATGTATACAGATTGAACGAATTTAAAACGGATCATACAATTTAATATATGTTGAACTGCATTTGAAATAGTGGACCAATATAAAACTTGGACAAAAATAAATCCATACCTGGGTATAGACATTGTATAAAATATCGTTCAACTATCTGTTTCGCAACAATGTTGTTTGCGTAACAATGTTGCCAATCGCCGTGTAATAATCCGATTTGCGGATCTTTTTGAGAGTTATATCTTCTTCGTATCTTTAAATAAATCGGATATTTGCCTATATTTTTCATTGTATTTACCAATCTACTACAACAGACTAATAACAAAAATAAACTTAATGGTTTGTAGTTATTTTCTTTTTTTCTTGTAAATATTTTATGGATAACACCTTGTTTGAGAAACATTTAAAAGAATGACGTTGGCAACACCGCTCACAGAAAGGCTTGTCTAAAGAGCGATAACTGGTTTGACAGCATAATAAAATCGTAGATTTATGTGTAGCTTTCAATTTTTATGATTTCAGAATCCAGTAGCCCGCTGAAGTATTGGATTTTTATATATTATTTGACAACCTTTTGTTGGCCAACCACCTACAGCAAAATTGAGCCGAAATACATAATATTTCGTATGTTCCGAATTTATTTCGTTCAATCTGTATGTTAAAAATACTTGTGTTCTGTCCTATTTTAAGTATTGTTACTGAGTTATATACCGACCATATACTCGGTCGAAACTTAGTCAGAAAAATAAAAATAAAAGTATTAGATGCGCTATGAACAAAAAGTAATGCTATGATTGTCACTGATGACTTATCTTGGTATTGGTATTTTGAACAAGAATCCAAACGTTATAAGTAACCATCCGCAATATAGACAGAAAAATGTTTCCTTACGTTTTGACAAAAAAAGTAATGATCAACGTACTTTTTATTGCGAGTATAGATTTTAAAGAATCTGTTCTTTATAACAAAATTTTGAAGCCATTTCTGATTTTCTGAGTATCAGAGATACCAATTATGATAAAGCACTCTCTTAGAGAATGAATTTACTTGAATTTCTTCTAATACAGTGAGTTTAAACCAAACAAAACTTGAAATGTATGTTTCATAACATTTACAAAAGTAAACTGAACATATCACTGAAGGAATAAGATATGGTTATTTGGCCAAAGCTGTATTGACGGCAGTAGTAATAAAAATGACAAATCTGTGAAAGTTTCGATATAAAACAACTCTGAAGTTTCTGAAACTAACTAAATAAAAGTTCCGATAATGACAACAGAAAATTCGAAATAGAAATATTATAGTAGTGATCGTCAAACAAGGTTCATAAACAGCTTAAATTATTTGTTCAGCAATCAATTTGTAGTTGAGATTCATTTTGATTTAGTTGAATTTGGTCCTTCATAACATGTTTTCATTGGACAACCGTAGTATATCACGCTCTTCATCTCAATAAACATCACACGAAATATATTTTCACTTTTTGTTTTGTTGAGATGCCGATTTCGATTAATCAAACTTTAATATATACAATTACTTCATATTCGTGGTATAGTATTTACCATCATTATTTTATTATAGACGACATTGAGAAACCGACAGAGGAAATGATAGAAAAAATGGAGGAAAAATTGGAAGGGGCCCAAGGAGATCAGAAAAATTTGTTCTTGATCATCTTCCAACGGTTTATCATGATCCTGACTGAGCATTTGGTAAGATGCGACACAGACGGCAAAGACTACGGTACACACTGGTACAAATGGACGATTGGGAGACTGCAACAAATCTTTTTGGCGGTAAGTGTAAGATTTTTTCTTCGTTTATATTATTCGTCTAATTCTGATGCATTTATCGGATATTTAAGAGTTTACATACAAGTAAATAAGAAGGTTGTACGAAATTGTATTTTCACTTGTTAATATTGTGACTAAGCTATTTTCTTCTGACATTTAACTAGTTTATTTAATATACTGGAAATTACCCACAATATTTTTAAGATTGGAAATACTTTATTTACTTACTTACTCCGTGGCGTTACAACCCTTCGTGGGTTTTAGCCGACTCGACAACATGCCTCCACTGTTTTCTATCTTGAGCAACCTCCATCCAATTCTCCACGCCCATAGTGCTTAGGTCTCCTGCTATATTATCTCGCCACCGAAGACGAGGGCGTCCGCGTGGTCTCCTTCCAGTTGGGACTTCCTCCCACACCAGTCTTACTGTTCGTTCATCAGAATGTCTTCTGAGGTGTCCTGCCCATTGGAGTCTTCTGGACTTTATTTCTTTTATGATGTTGGTGTCTGGGTAAAGTTCTTCAAGCTCTTTATTAGTTCTTATCCTATATTGTCCTGATGCTTCATCAAGCACCGGACCAAAGATCTTCCTTAGGATTTTTCTTTCCCAAACACGTAGTCTCTCTTCATTTGCCTTTGTCATCGTCCACGTTTCGCTTCCATACATCACAACGGGTCGTATGATTGTTTTATAGACCTGTATCTTCGTACCTCGTGTTAGTTGTTTTGATTTTATAAGGTTTTGGAGGGCAAAAATACATCTGTTGCCGGCCTGAATCCTGTTGTTTATTTCTTGTGATCCGTTATTGTCTTCAGTTATTGTTGTTCCAAGATACTTGAATTCTCTAACGCGCTCAAAGTTAAAGTCATCGATGGTAATGTTCTGACCGATTCTGTCTCTGCTTTGGTTATTGCGGCTCATATACATATATTTCGTCTTATTTTCGTTGATTTGGAGCCCCATCTTCCCTGCTTCCTTCTCAAACCTTACGAAAGTCTCCTTCATCTTTAATCGCGTGTTTCCTATTAGATCTATATCGTCTGCAAATGCCAGTAGTAAGTTTGGTCCTTCTCGATGAAATACTGTATTCGGTTTTTCGATTCTTGCACTTCTGATTATGTGCTCCAGAGCTAAGTTGAAGAGTTGTGGTGAAAGTGCATCTCCCTGTTTTAGTCCATTGTTTATTTCAAATGTCTCCGAGTATTGTTGTCCAACTCTCACCTTACATCGTAACCGTTCCATACACATTCGTATCAACCGGACTAGTTTTTTTGGAAAGCCAAGTTCCTGCATCGCTGTCCACAGTCTGTCCCTACATACTCTATCAAATGCTTGTTTAAAATCTATGAACATCTGATGAAGCTCACGATCAAACTCCCAGCATTTTTCCATTATCTGTTTTATTGTAAATATCTGGTCAATTGTAGAGCGGCCCGGTCTAAATCCGCATTGATAATCTCCAACGATTTCTTCTGTGTATGTTTTGGTTCTTTCTAGCAGGATGTTTGCAAGGATTTTGTAGGTGGTGTTTAAGAGTGTTATTCCCCTGTAGTTAATACATTGCTTTTTGTTTCCTTTTTTGTGTATTGGTACAATAACCCCTTCTTTCCATTCATCTGGCATTGTTTCTTCTTGCCAAATGTCTTGAATTAGCTTGTATATCGAACTGTACAACGCTTCTCCTCCATGTTTTAAGCACTCTGCGGGTATACCATCGCTACCTGGTGTCTTATTATTTTTGAGTTTTTTAATTGCCTGTATTACTTCTTCGTATGTCGGGTATTGGTCTTCTATTTCAGCTGTATGTACCTCTATGTTTGATGTACTTCTGCTAGATTGGTCATTCAATAGCTGATAGAAGTATTCCTTCCAGGTTTTTAAGATTTCCTTGTCATCAGTGATAAGCTGTCCACTTTCGTTTTGAAGAAAGTTTCCTGTTCTTGCTTGGTACCCGGTCTTGATATCTGAAACTCCTTTAAAGAACTGCCTCGCTTGTTTGTTCTTTCTTTTTTCTTCTATATCTCTGATTATTTGTTCCTGATACTCTCTCTTCTTCCTTTTCATTAGTTTTCTTGTCTCCGTTCTTCTTTGTCTATACATTTCATTATTGTTGTGCGAGGGGTTTTGTAGCATGTTCCTTCTAGCCATATTTCTTGCTAATATGGAGTTCAGGCAATCATCATCGAACCATTTTTTTGTTGTTTTCTTTTTGTGTCCTAGTATTTCATCTGATACGCTTGTCAGAGCTACTTTGATATTTTTCCAAGCTGAGTCTATGTTGTTATAGTCTTCTGTCTGTGCTAGAGCGATTTTTATAGCCTTTTGAAATTTCTGTTCTGTCTCCTTATTCCGTAGAACTTCGGTATTCCATAATTGTGTTGGTGTATTCTTGTGTGTTTTTTTGGACGCTATTCTTGTCCTTATCTTCGCTTTTACAAGAAAATGATCCGTGTCTCCATCAGCTCCTCTTAGGCTTCTTACGTCTAGACAGTTACTACCCCTCCTGGCATCTACTAGAACATGATCAATCTGATTTCTTGTGACGCCGTCGTTGGAGACCCATGTTTGTTTGTGTATATTCTTGTGTTCAAACATTGTCGATTTTATTAGTAGATTGTGGGATGCTGCAAAGTCTATTAGCCTTGTTCCATTATCGTTGCTAACATCGTGAAGACTATGGTTACCTATTGTTGGTTTGTACGCTGCTTCCTTCCCAATTTTTGCATTGAAATCTCCTAAGATAATATGCATGTCCTGTTTAGGTAAATTATTTATCAGTTCCTCTAGTTTCTCGTAGAAGTTATCTTTTATATGCTCTTCCTTTTCCTCTGTCGGTGCATGGGCAGCAACTAGGGAATAGTTATGTAGTTGTCCTTTGATTCTGATATAACAAAGTCTTTCATTAACGGGTTTGAAAGTTAAAACTGACCCTACAAGACTTTCCCTGACTATAAAACCAGTTCCGAATTGATGTTCTCGTTCGCTTCCGCTGAAAAATACTACTGATTTATTAGTTTTTAGTGTACCTTCTCCAGTCCATCTAATCTCTTGTAGAGCAGTTATGTCCATGTTTCTGGATTCAAGTTCTTTGACCACCTGAGTTAGGGCTCCAGGCCGATATAGGCTTAGTACGTTCCAGGTTCCTATATTCATTGTTCTTTGTCGTCGCTTTTGTCGTCTTAAAAGATCCGTCCTTATCCGAGGCATGTGCTTCGTTTTCATAACTATGTTTTTTTACAAGAAGGTCTATGTCTTTTACAAGAAATAAAATACTTTATTGTATAATACAAAATTTTAGTTCTTCAAAAGCTGAAAACCTGTATTGTCTTGTATATACGAGAATGTATTGAAACTTGCTTAGCCTACTTTAGATTTAAACAAAATTGAACTGACAACGCCCTAGATCTTAAATTTTTTTTCCTTTCTCTTCAAACTAGGCCTCCACAACTTCTATCACCTTTTGGAAGAACATTTAGTACCTTTTTAGACTATTTTTTTTTCAGTTGACGAAAGACATGATAGTCGAACGGTATCAGATATGGTAAATAAGGGGGATGTTCGAATAATTAGAACGAGAAATCACGAACACTTACGATTTGTGTACAAAAGACATCGTTATGCAAAAACAAAATGCGTTTTTACCATTATTCGCATCTTCTGTTTATATTGTTTTCACGTAGAGTGGTCACTAACGTTGAATTATAATTCCTAGTTATTATTTTCCCTCTATTCAGAAAGTCAATCACGATTTATTGGTAGAAAATCCTAAAAAAACTGTCCAGCAAATTGAAAAAGACAAATAACATTCCAGTGAACATACCAGTTAGGTCACTAACCAAAAACGAAGTTGAACAAGAAATTCAATGTTTAAACATTAGAAAATCTCCTGGGCTGGAAAATAATACCCAAGGTGATAAAGGAACTACCAGATAAAGGAATTATACGTTATACTCTCATCGTCAATGCCATTCTATTGGCCCAAAGCTCTTTAAAACTGCTGAAATAATACTAGTTCCAAAAGCAGAAACAATCTATGTCTACTACAAATTGCATCCAAAATAATTCAAAGAATACTGTTACAAAATAATAACTCAGGCCCCAATACGGAGGAATGGATACACAATCATCAATTTGGCTTTCGAAAAGAACACTCAACGATACAGCAGGTTCACAGAAGAGTACACTCCATAAATTCTTCAATAGAAAGTAAACAATACTGCACAGTTGCCTTTCTAGACGTCAGTCAAGCCTTCGACAAGGTTTGGCACACAACTCTGATTTTCATAAATAAGAAATATCTTCCTATACTCGGTTCGCTATTCCCAGTCCGAACTGTCTAGTGAATTTAGTAATTATCTTTTTGCGAAGTTAGACTAAACAGACTAGACAGACTAAAAGTGGTTGCAAATTACTGTACAACCAAGCACATATACTGATAGCCAATATTAATAGTAAACAAACTAAATAGTAAATAAAATAGAACTTTGCGAATTACAGACAATCAATATTTATTTATCTGCACCATATAATACATAGTTATGTTAAATTATAACAACTAAAATATATTTTTTTAATATATAATACCCAAAATTTGATGGGTTTAGTATGCACTTCCACTATTTAGAATAATTCGTCTTTTTTCAAAGAAAGATGTCTGCAATAGCAGTATACTTGAGCTATTAATACTGAGAAGTAGGAATTGTTGTCTTGTAGTTTTCCAACAATGGATCTGTCAAAATGTGCCAGAGCTAAGCGAATGGAGTATGCCACCTAACTGAAACTGTTAAAATCCTATTTTCATGGAAGAGCATTCCGAATAAGAGTGAATGAAAGTAATTCCAATAATTTTCTTATAAAATTTGGTGTCTCACAGGGCAGCGTTCTTGGACTAATATTATATGTGTTATACACAGCAGATCTACCCTCCAATAATGAAAGCATCACTGGTACGTTTGCAGATGATCCTTGCAATCGACGAAAATCCAACTATAGCATATAACATTGTACAGATACAACTGAGAAATCGAGACGTGGTCAAACAAGTGGAGAATTATAAAGAATGAAACAAAATTCAGTCCAAGTGACTTTTACCTTGAGAAGAGACCAGTGTCACCCAGTTTCACTTAGCAATATCCAACTTTCTCAATCTTCTAGCACCAAATTCCTAGGAATACATCTTGACTCAAAAGATTCTTAAGAAGCGGAAACAAATTGACCTAAGAATGAAAGACCTCACCAAGCCAATAGGAGCCCTTTGCTTTGCAGCCATCAAATTAGCTTATAGAACATTATTTGTGTTTTGATTGCTAAACAGTGTAACTAAATAAAAAAAATTGACCTTTATAATTTTCTTTATAAAAAACTTTTTTTATATGCTCTGATAATGAAATCGTTTATTTTTTTTAGCACCACGAGCAAGTACAGAAGTACAGCTCCACGTTGGAGACCCTATTGTTCACCCAAGACCTGGACAACCACATCCTCGAAGTATTCCAACAGTTTGTTTCGTTAAGAGCCTAAATATATATATTATTTATTAAGTCTATCAGATAATGTGTAAATTGATTCTATTTTGTAGAATTACAAGATTTTATTGATGATTTTCTTTTCACTTGTCTCGAAAAATTTATATTACAGAACGAATAATTCAAGATAAGAGGTTCAGAAATCGATAATACGAGGTAGGATAGCAGAAATTTTTGTGTTTTTTATAAAAGCAATAATAAATATTGTACCTTTTTTCTTGTTTTTTATTTGATAAACATAGTTTTATTATTATGCTAATATGACTAGTTCCTATAGCATATAAAAAAGCAGAAGATTACTGCTGCATACAATGCGAAGCTATACACTATGCGCAACACTGCTCATTTCACTACAATGAACACCCAAAAGGACATCTTGAAATAAGTACCTTATAAGGAGATATAGCCTTGAAAACTTAATGATAATCGCCACAAGAAATAAAAAAATACTTACAGCGCAAGTCATATATACCGGGTTGAAACTAAAAAAAAGACGGAATATACAAGATATACATCTGGCAATGCTGCTAGCTCCGTTTTCTCGTACTGATTGTTCTCAAAATCATTTGCTCTACTTTATTTTTTTTTTTTTATTAAAAGTGAGTGTGGTGGTTTCCGCAGTATTTATTCATTTCTCGGCAGTATGTTATTATTTTTAATATACTTCTAATGAATGAGGCGTAAATATTACATAAAGTCTTTATTATTGTAACGACAATATTTTGCCTACCACAGGGGCATTAATATAAGGTAGAAAATTGGGGGAAGAAACTATTGGGGGTGGAGATAGGGCAAGCAAAATAATCGCTACTGATGCGAACGGACACTCAGAGTTTCGTAGGAGAGCTGGGGTCGTGGATAAGTAAAATGGGGGTTAGAATGGGGCAACTACAACAAAAAGAAATAAAGGGCTCTTGGGACAAACAAAATAAAAATAAACAAGAAAACACCTCAAGAAATTTGATTATAGGGCGCCACTTGAGGTGCCTAATTATGCCTATTACAACCACTAGTTGTAACTAGGGAAATAATTAGAAAACAAATCAAAACATATCTTTTTCAAATAAACTCAAAAAGGGTTAGCTTAAAAAAAATAAATAAAAAGTTAAGAAAATAAAATTTAACCTTTAATTATGTGTACCACAAACAGTTACAAATACAAATAATACTAACAAAATACAAAAAAAAACGACTTACAATGGCGCTTTCGGTTTACAACTCTGGGCGTTGGGGACCCTATTTGCGCGACATTTTGTTGCGGTAACTATTTAAATATTTATTATCATATTTTTAAATGGAGCTTACTTACTGAGGTTAACCTTTTTAAAAACAAAACAAATTCAAAGTTTATGGTTATGTATGTACCAAATATCCGAAGACAATAATGCTAACTGTCATATGTCAAGATTAAATTTTTAAAACTATAAGAATAATTAATATGACAGTTAACCAATCCCTAATATTTATAATTTTATTTATTACAATTTTTGTAACTTGTCATGAAAGCAATTATCGATGAAAACTGTCTATTTTTACTTTAAAAAATGTTTACGAAAAAAAAGAGTACCTGATATCACTGAATATTATATCTCCTTTAAAAGTTTTGGGGCTGGAACTTTACTCAAAAACACTGCAAAACAAACAAATGCTTCTCACAAGCTGCAAAATGGTCTGGAATGACCAGGGACAACAAATATACGATGAAAGCTGGGCACTGGACCATCGGACTTCGGGTTAATTAAACTGCAATCTTCAAAGCTTGGCTTTTCAAAACTTCTCAAAACACAAAGCTCTTCAAAACACAGCACGACCCAAATCGGTGATTAACTCAGACAAAAACTGACACATTACATTTGAGTATAATATTCACTTCTCCACATATAAATTTGCCGGTTCCTTGAAGAATACCACCCAAGCACTTTTCCGTCAATATCATAAACCAACCTCAAATTGTAACTACACATGCTACCAAACTTCAATACTTCTGATGAAAAAAACTAATAACAAAAAAAAACATTACGAATTTGATGAAAATTCGGACTAAACAAACGAAACCAACTGCCCTTGACAGCGGCTCCACCGATAGTGACGAAATTAAAAATTTGTTCGCTTAACTTGAAAATCAACGAACTGCTGAAATAGCAAAACCAACGAACGACGTAGATATCCCTTGAAACGCATTTACATGAAAAGAAATCGCCGCAGTAAAATAAACAACAATTAAATGGATTTATTACTCTACGACGTTAGAATGATTGAAAACACTTTTCGAAAGATACGAACTAAAAAACAGAAAACATTCTTCGTTTCATTAAGACGATTTCATATACGAGGCGACTTTAAATATACTTCAAAGAATCAATCAAATTTAAAATGCTACAATACCCCCACGTAAGAGCGAAAACTGGACTAACAGGAAAAGTTTTCGTTTAGGGCGAACAACAATCAGGTTGGAACAACAGTAGCATTTTTTAACTACTGCAACAACACATAATGACTTCAATAACTCAAACAGAACAAAAAACAACAAACAAAAATCATAACCAAAACTACACATCATAACTGTTTATGGTTCTAACATAATAACATACAAAATAAAACTGGATGCTCAATTTGACGAATCGGCACCAGGTACAGTTCGTTGGCTCTTAAGCACAACGACACAATGGCAGATTTCTACTAAAATGGCTCTAGCCTAACCAAAAACGTGGAACAGACCAGTGTTGAAGTTTCTGGGAGCGAAAAGAGGGGTGCTTCCAGCTCAACAAAGGCGGGTGGCCAACAACACAGCTTAGACAAGCTTCGCTATGGTTATCCACATAATAGATAACCAAAACAATATCAAAAAATAACAAACTTGACTATAACAGTCAAGCAATGAATTTTCAACCACTGGTTGAAAATTAAACCAACACAAAAGAAGAAAACAGGATGGCCAATAGTTCCATAGAAATATCCTCTGGGATCGACACAGCGAAAAATTTCCAAGTCAGGAAACTCCCAAAAGGACAAAAGAAGAAAATAAATCCAAAATGCTAATACACAATCTTGGAAAAGAAGAAAGAACAGGGGCACATGGCATACAAGCCATAATCAATACACAATCAGTTCAGTCTCAAACTAAATACTTCCTGAAGAAACAAAAAAAAACTCGTAACAGTCTTCCAAAGAAAACAAAAAAGTTACGACAACACTTCAAAAGAAACAAAAACATCATTACAGATCTCCAAGGGAACATAAGAAACACTATAATCTTCCAAAAGAACAAAAAAATCATTACAGTCCGTCAACAACAATAAAACTTCCAACTGGGTACACAAATCTCAAAAGCAGGGCAAGAAGGGTAAAGAAGAAGAAGAAGAAGAGTATATATATATATATATATACACAAGGCAAAAACTAATGCTTATCTTCCTTAAAAGCTCAACAGGTCACCTGGCGGACGAATCCAAAACTCATCGACCTAGCCGTTCCTCTTATGACAACTAATAAGGTCAAAGACACAGTTTGGGAAGGGAATGAAGGGGCAACATGAACAAATAAACTTCATCATTTCACGGATAATAATCGAATACAACATCTTCATACAAATCAGAAAGAAACGTTCACTATTCTTTAACAAAACTCGAACAGGGTCACAACATAAAACTGGGGAATTCTAAGTGGGTCATTCAACGGTAGTACTAAAAATACTTCAGATGTTTCACTAACATGGTCTCACAATCGACATAAACAAAATTTTTACAATAAACGGCGGCCAGGTACTTTCACCTCAGCAAATCAAAACGTCACAATGGACAATGCCAGTATTTGTACCTCCGCTTCCACCAAATCATCAACATTACATCACAAACACTACAACAAGAAGGAATGCTATTGAGACTCTATCGCCAATAGTCTTACTTCAACACATAGAAAGGCTTATCCTTTCTATTAATTCACGGAAAGGGGATGCTGCTACGCAGTCTTACACAACAACAGAAATATCCAAGGAAACACAAATCCAGGTCACATGCCTGTACGTCCTATATGATACTTCAAAAACACAATACTCAAATCACAAACTAACACATTTTAGACCATCAACATATCTCCACTACAACATCTGACCACACAAAGACACGGAAAGACACAAAACTAACAGACAGAAAAAACATCACAACACTTTCGCTATGTATTCTCAACAAATCGGCCTTAGCCAGGAATACACGAAGTCGTATCATTATTCTCTCTTCTACTTGTACACAAAAAAGAACTAGGGAGAAACACAAGACTAACAGACAAAAGAAAAATAACAATACTCCGCTTTGTCACTAACAAATCGGCCTTAGCCAAGGACAAACGGAATCGTATCATCATTTCCTCCTACTTATAACACAGAATAGGAACAAAGAAAACACGGGGAAACACGGAAATAACAAACATAAGGCAAATAACAATACTTCGCTTTTTCACTAACAAATCGGCCTTAGCCATGGACAAACGAAATCGTATTATTACTTCCTCCTACTTATAAAACAAAAGACAACACGAAAACACACGGACTGATCATGGACTGTAAAATCAGAAACAAATTCTTTTTCGGGGCTTAAAAAAATTTCACACATTGCCTGGACTATTAAACTTTAAAAATACGAAAAAATTGACCTATATTTTTCGTACAACAGCTGATTTCTGAAACGCAATAAATTGCTCAAACACTCAATAAGAAGACGAAATAGATAACTTATAAACACTTAAGAAAGGACAGCGTCTACATACGAAATAAATTATTTCGTTAACGTAAACAAAATTCTTTTCTCAGACATTGGATGATACTTAAGACGAACAAGAATAAACAAACTTGATATCGTTCACATTTTAAATACCGGCAAATAAGGAATGACATCATTCCAAATACGTATTTTTTAATTCACAAGGAAATAGACGAAAATTATTTCTACATAATTTTACGAAAACTGGACATAGAAGAAAATGGAAATCGTAGCAGTTAAC